ACTTCAGGACTGCCACAGGGCTATACCAAGCTGTATTGATCCCAGTGCATACAGAAGGGTCTGTACTTGATTTAATAGTTTGTGTTGAGTTATCTGGTGGAAAAGCTGACTATCCGGCCTGTGTGCCATGGTCAGCCCTCTGTCTGCTGAAGGTTCAGTTGACAGTGGCTCCCCTTCACTGTGCTGGTGGTGAACTGTGGTTGGTTGGTTATACGTACTCTGCTTTTTTTCCTCATAGGAAACCCAAAATGCCTTTCAGTATAATTCTCCCCTCTTCCATTTTATGCACACAACAACCATATGAGGTAGGTTAGGCTAAGAGACTGTCTGAAAGTCGTGCAGTGACCTTCTGTGGCAGAGTGGAGATTCAAACCTGGCTTTCCCAGATCCTAGTTCAGTGTTGTAACCACTACAACAATGCTGACCCTCCACTAAGAATGATGAATCCCATGAGATTTCAAAATGATCTGTGGAATTTTGAGAGCCTAAATGGTAGCTCTGTGGAAAACACAGTCAGGCCTGAAGTGCCAGGCTTTGGCAGGTGATCGTCACTCCCCATTGTCCTCCTCTCCCGCTAACAGAAGTCTGTCCCTGAGATTTTCATCAGAGCTCAGCACAATGATTAGTTGGTAAATATCTGGAGTATTGTTGGTGAAAATGTTTTGCCATATTGGGCAGATCACACCAAAGAACCTGTTTAAACAGCTATGAAGTGGTGGTGAGGGGGTGGTGAGGAAGTTTACTTCTGTGCTAATGTTGAATTCATCTCAATTGTTCAGGGTGATTCAGCAGTTGATGGTGCCTGGGGGATGGAAGCACAGTTCCCTCTAAACGGCTCTAGGGGGCTCTGGTGCACAAAATTTTAACAGGCAGCTCAGGGATTGTGAGCTTTTGTTCACAAGACATTTTTCCCTCCATTGGAAACAATGGATGATGGGGGCACCTCCTTCTTGGGCCCATAGAATTGGACCCTCTGGTCCAATCTTTTTGAAACTGGGGGCAGGGATTGAGGAGAGGCACCAGCAGCTATACTACAAACTTGGTGCCTTTGTCTAAAAAAACAGCCCCCCAGAGCCCCAGATACCCCCAGATCAATTCTCCATTATAGCCTATGGGGCCCATTGACTATAATGGTCCCCATAGGCTACAGTGGAGCTGGGGGAAAGTGATTTTTTTTTGCACACCCCTATTATGCTTTTCAGTATGATTTGTAAATTGCTTTAAGTCATATGGAAAAGTGGGATATAAATATTTGAATGAATAAGTTGTTTGGGCAGGTTGATAACATTTAAGCAACTTCCTAAGAGCCAGTTTGGTGTAGTGGTTAAGTGCACGGAGTCTAAACTGGGAGAACCGGGTTTGATTCCCCACTCTTCCACTTGCACCTGGCTGGATGACCTTGGGCAAGCCGTAGTTCTGATAAGAGCTGTTCTTGAAAAAGAGCAGTTTCTGTCAAGACCTCTCTCAGCCCCACCCACCTCGCAGGGTGTCTGTTGTGGGAAGGGGAAGGGAAAGGAGTTTGTAAGCCACTCTGAGACACCTTTGGGTAGTGAAGGGCGGGGTATAAATCCAGTCTCTTCTCTTCTTCTTCTTTTTCCTGTTTCTAAGGCTTGGCACAAGGCAATAGTCCAAGGCCAGACCTACCAGTATAGTAGACTGGGGTGGGCATACCTGATCTCCAGAGACTAGGTCTAACAATATAGTGGAAAGGGGTGAGTAGGCCTGTTCTCCAGGGGCCAGGTCTGCCAATGCAGTGGAAAGAGGTGGATGAAATTTGACTTGATTCTGCTTTTTCTTATAAAGTTTAAATTATTCTTAAAATATAGTTTAAATATAATTTAAAAGACTTTATTCTGAGATTTTTACAAGGATATGGAAGTAATTTAAAAAGCTAATTTACATGATAGTCAAATGTATACTCACTCACAACTTTAATGCTACTACCGTAGCTTTTTTCACTCATGAGGTAGAATTTCTGCTCACAACACTATGGAGCTTAGAGGGAACATTGGATGGGATTCCCCTAAATATAGTGCTTCAACATTTAGCTGTATTTAGTTTTGTTTGTTTGTTTAAATATGATCTCCAAGGTGGCAAACGTCAAAGTGTTAAAGATCTGAACATTAAAACAGCATTTAATACATAAAATAATTCAATAAAAATATATAAACACAAAACACACACAAGATCAAAACCAGGGAGGAGGGACAACAGCAGTTGTTGGTGTTGGGGGTATGCCAAATGAAAGGAAAAAAGCCGTCACCTACTGGCAGAAGACAATGATAGAGGGAGAAAGACAAACATCCCTAGGGTGGGAGTTCCAAAGTTTTGCCCCCACAACGAAGAAGGCTCTCAGGTTGCTACCCATCTATCCCCAGATAAGCAGGGCATCCGAAGATTACCTGAGTGGATAGATGGGTTCATATGGGAGAAGGCATTCCTTACGGTACATTGGCCCCAAGCCATATAGAACTTTAAAGTTCAGAGCCAGCTCCCTAAACTGGGCCCAAAAGCAAATGGGAGCCAGTGTAGATGGAATAAGACTGGAGAGATATGACCTCTACAACTCACTCCAGTGAACATGCTGACCACAGCATTCCATTCCAACTGTAGATTCCAGGCAGTCCAAGGACAGCCATGCACTCTAGCAAGATCTCTCCTGCCCAGGAAGGGCTGTAGCTGGTGAAAGACACCCCTGGCCACTGCTGCCACCTGTATCCAAAAGGAGGCCTAGGTCCAGCAGCACTGCCAATCTACAAACCTGCTTCTTTAGGGGGACTGCAACCCCATCCAGAACAGTAGATACCCCATTTCCTGGATCAAACTCCCCCACACACTAGTAGCACCTGCATTTTGTCAGGAGAAGTTTCAGTTTATTAGCCCTCATCGATTCCAAAACTGCCTCCAGGCTCCTGTTCACCGTTTCCACAGCCTCTTTCAGGGCCGGCCCGAGGGGTTTCTGCGCCCTAGGCCACGCTGCCTCATGGCGCCCCCCTCAGATGCCAACCACCTGGTGGGGCCTGGAGACCTCCCAGCTGGGTCCCAGCAGCAGGGCCAGCTGAGAGAGGGCTCCGTTCCCCACCGCCTCCTCCTCCCTGCCCGCCCACCTAGGGGGCCTTTCTGAGCCAGAGCCGCCGCTTGGCCCAAGCCCTTCCCGCGGTCCCCGGCCAGGAAACGGCCCGGCGACGGCGGGGATTGGCAGCGGGCGCCACCAATGGTGCTGGGCGGGACAGGCAGGGGCAAGCCTCCCTACCTACCTACCTCCCTCCGCAGGGACCCACCCGCTGGGAGCAGGGGAGTTGACCTGGGCCTCCAAAAACCCTCCCTCGACCCTCATGAGGAGGAGAGAGGCGCGGGCGGGGAACATGGCAGCAGGTGGAATGGTGGGCACCTCTTTGTTGGGGCGGAAAGGAAGGGAGAATCCCGCCGGCTGGCAGTGATTGGGCTGGGGGGTCTCCGTAGCCTCCTGCTGGTGGGCACCATCCCCCGCTCCGTCTCTGTTCGGGCTTGGAAGGGAGGCCAGTGAAGCCCCCCGGTGCGTCCCTGCGTCGCCGCCCGGGTGCGGGTCTCCAGCGCGGCCATCCCCAGCCTCTTCAGGATGGTGGCAGCGGCGGCAACCCTGAGCCCAGGTTGGCTTGGCGTGCTGACCCTCCCGGGGCTGCTTGGGGTGGGGTGCGTTCAGCCTCTCGTTCCCTGCAGGGGCCAGCCCGGTAGTGTGGAGAGATCTCCGCCCTAGGTGAGATACTAGCAGGCCTAGTGATAGGGCCGGCCCTGGTCTCTCTGAGATCTTTTGGACATGTGAGACAAAACTGTCATTAATATACTGGTGGCAACTCAGCCCCTATGTCTGGATGACCTCTCCCAGCAGCTTTCCATAGACGTTAAAAAGCACGGGAGACAAGAATAAACCTTGTGGGATCCCATAGACCAGAGCCCAAGGGGTGGAGCAGTGGTCTCCCAGCACCACACTCTGAAACCTACCTTTGAGATAAAACCAAAACCACAACAGAACAGCATCTCCCAGCTCCAACCCCAAAAGGCAATCCAGAGGGATATCGTGCTAGATGGTATCAGAAGTCTCCAAGAGGTCCAGGAGAATTAACAGGGTTGCACTCCCCTGTCCATATCAGTCAGTCCTATAACCGGGCCTGAAACAAAATTGGAATGGATCCAAACAATCTGCTTCATTCAGGAATCCCTCTGAGATTGAAGTAGGAGATCATGGGGATGGCTTTAATTGTAACATCAAACTAGTATTGAGTAAGACTTATCAAAATGTACTGCTGATTCAAATTTTTTTAGCATATGTAGCATATTCTATGAAGAGAGGGCTTTACTATCCTCAGTTCATTCATCTCAACAGTGGTCCTCAGTCCAAATTTATTTGGTATGAGGATCTGCTTGAAAAAACAGAGCATTCACAAATCATTAAAACTGCAAGAGCCCAAGACTCACTTTCACTGGCTTTGCAACCCACTTTTGAGTCAGGACTGACAGGCTGGGGAACACTGCATTAATACATATATTTTATAATGTAGGGCTGAGATTGAAAAGGTGGTCTCCTGACATCTTGAGGCAGGCTGAGGGGGTAGGGAGGCACCTGAGGATGACATCAGCTTGCAGCGCCAGTTGTCAGAAGCCCAGGAGTGGCCAGAAGCATCGAGATGGCTGGTTGGAGAGGCGGGAATGGTGTGTGTGTGTGTGTGTGTGTGTGTGTGTGTGTGTGTGTGTGTGTGTGTGTGTGTGTGTGTGTTGAGATGCAGGGATATGGTGGCTGAGGAGGAGAAGCTTACGCTCTGGGCATTGCTAGTTAACTGAGCATGCCTGATAAAAAGCTTTTATTGTATATGCATTTTCATGTGCTTTACATTCTGCAATGTAATAGTTCCTCAACAAAAGCTGTAGATTGTAATGTTTTTCTTGGGTGGGTAGTGTGAATAAAGAAAGGTTTTTGTCTAAATGTCCTTTCACTAAGTAGTTTCTTGTTGGTCTGATTATAGGAGCAGTTTCTCAGGTGTTGGACAGCCTAGAGGAAATCCATGCACTTACAGATTGCAGTGAAAAAGACTTAGATTTTTTACATAGTGTTTTCCAAGATCAGCATCTTCATACGCTACTAGATGTAAGTATTGCTTAAGCAAAATATTTAGGTTATAGAAACATTTGAAAAAGTTAGTATTTGTTGGTTTTGGACAATTTCAAAAATGTTTGCTATTTTCAAAGAAAACTTAAACTTACTGATAAATGTACACATTCAGGGGGTAGGTGGGTGTGGTAATACAAGGAGACAACAAACCTGATAAAACTCAGATTAACTGTACCAAATTCCTAGTAGCATTTTCAGTTGTACATCTTTGATGGCAAATGCCTGTCTGTGAGCAGAGCTGGCATACTTAAGATATACATTCAATGGGGAAGCTGGCTTGGGGAATTTATGGCATGGCTATGAATAGGCCTGAACACATTGCAAACAGCTGAACAGCCTATTGATTGAGTGGTTAGGAGTGTGGACTCTAGTCTGGGAGAACCAGGTTTGATTTCCCCACTCCTCTATGTGCAGCTGCTGGTGTGACCTTCAGTCAGTCACAAGTTCTCTCAGAGCTGTTCTCTCAAGGACAGTCCTCAAGGGAGTTCTCTCAGCCCCACCTACCTCACAGGGTGTCTGTTGTGGGGAGGAAAAGAAGATTGTAAGCTGCTCTGAGACTCCTTCAGGTAGTGAAGGGCAGGGTATAAATCCAATCTCCTCCTCTTCTTCTGATCACCAGTGGAAAACAACTGAATCAGCAGATATTCAGTTGTTCCTAGCTGAACCAAGACTGGACCCAATAGCCATACTGGTGAGGTGCAAAACATTTTCCCCACTTGCTGCTTACCTGTTCATAGTCCCTTTACCCAGCTACTTGTTATTACTGCCACGTTCTTGTATAGGAAACCTGCTGAAGAAAAAATGGTGTCAAGGGACAAACAGGCAGAAAGAGAATTCAGAGCCTCCTGCTTTAGAGATGATTGGTGGGCAGATGTGACTCAAGCGCACAAGTCTACTCTTATATACCAGTTCAACCATAGCTGATCAAAGTAATTGACATGGAAGATTTTCCTACAGGGTAACATAGAAATAGTTTAATCTGTATTTACCAGTCAAACGCTAGAGAAGCTTACTGAAAACAAGTGTAACAACCACGCACCCACACACACGTACAAAACCATTCTCTAATTTACCTTTATGCAGTAGTCTGCATTGATAGATGAAATTTATTTATAAAGAGATGTCTTTATGGAGTCAAGCAGTTTGGTCCCCCCTGAGTTGTGGACGATTCTGAATAGAGACAACATCCAAATTTCAGGTTAAATTTCTTCTTATCAACTTTTGTATACCTTGGGCCATTCTGTGCTGACAGCAGGATCTGTCTGTCCAGAGCACACTAGCTATAATAAGAAGTGTTGACGTGTCAACCTACAAAGTTTCCGCTGTTTTAATTTCACATGTTCACTGTTTTAAGGTAAGTGATATAATTTCTGTACTGGCTGCCAAAATCCTGATAACATTAGGTATAATTTAAAAAGAAAATTGTACGTAATTAATTACATGTTGATTTTACTCAGGGATGAAAAAGTATGCCCTTTCTCCCCCACCTCAGAGTTACAGTGTTATGGTGAAGCCCTCCCTCCCAGGCAGATCAATTTGTAGGGAAGGGTTTCAGTCAGCATGTCACTTTGAGACAAGAAGCTGAAGTACTTGTGAGTGGAGCAAGTGATACAGTATGCCCACTCAGGTTGCAAGTTTGATGAGCGTAATCTTCTATACATACTCATCATGAAAAACATTGCAAGGGAAAAAGTTTCTCTCTTAAATGAGATATTGATTTCTCAGTGTTAGTACCTGGACGTGGAGCCCTAATCAGCAACTCCACATGTCCCAGGAAAAATATTTCTTTATTCTTTGTCAAGTCCAGCAGAGTTTGCATGGTCTGCATAAGATCTTGAGCCAGTTTTCAGGAAATTACTGGCGAGAAAGTAGCATAGGTAGGAATTGTTGTGGATGAGATTCCCTTAGTAGAGTGTAGAAGAAACAAGATATGATTTTACTAAAACATGTAACTGTGTATTTATTAATTTTTACGGGGGGGAAATGTTCTTTTTGCAGAAGGCCAATTCGGTATTTGTACATGTAACAGAAGCCCCGAAACCGGCCTTGCTATGATGCTTTCCCAGCTGTTGACTTTCTTGTGGTTTCTGGGTGTGTTTGTTTTTTACTAGAAATAGTTGTAGAAACAGTATATTCTCTAAGGTCTAGGTCTGCCTTGCATTGTTTTTAAAATGTATTTATTATTAGTGCCAGGAAGGTACAGTTTAATCTTCCACATCAGCAAACAAAATAATATACATCGCCCAGTAACGTCGTGGTGATAGTGGGGAAAGTAACTATGGGAAAGGTATTCACATGTAGACCACACTTGCTAGAATGATTGTTGAATGTGTTTTGGTGTTAGGATTTACAGAAAAGCTGTTTCTGTTCATATCTTAGTTCTGTTCTAAACTTTGGGATAAAATGTCTTACATTGTTTAAATCTGGTGGGTTTTTCATCTGTGGGAAGATAGAGTAATTTAGCAATAATTTCAGTGGATAAACTGCCCATGTTTTGTGACATGTGTTTATGATACTTGCTAGACAAGTATGACGTATACTGGTGAAATATTTCAGAGATGTTTTACATTTTGCAGAACAGCAAATTGATAAATGTTAATAATAATTAATAGAATAATAGAACTGTTTGTTTTTTCCTTCCAGCTTTATGACAAAATTAACACAAAATCTTCACCACAAATCAGGAATCCTCCAAGTGATGCTGTACAGAGAGCCAAAGAGGTAAGTATTTTAAAGCCTGTTTTAAATGTGTTGAGTGTGAAGTTCTGTTCTTAGAATTCTTATAGTAATTCATTTGAGTCAGCTTTGAAAGTGTGTGTGTGTGTATGTACGTACTTATTATAGGTTGCTCTTGTATGGAGCTTCTGGTAGTCTCTCATTCAGACTGCTAATGAAATCTATTCCTTGCTAGCTTCATTGATTCTTCAACATTTATTGTTCCCAGACTGTTTATAGGGTATGTGTTTTTTTGGTATTGCAGCTCATGTTCAACGTGACCACTGGGTTATGAGGAACTTCTAAAATACTGTATGTGTAGCCTGAACTTTGTACTTATCTAAGTGAGCTGTGAATATTTTAGGCATTTGTGCCGATCCAGCCCTGATCAGATTTTGCTTTTTTACTTTGGCTACAACTGTGCAAGCAAAAATAATATGAAATGTATTTGACTCAAATTGATCAAAATATCAGTACAAAACTAATAATGTTATGTTTGTCAAGGGAAAGTGTCAATCAAAAGTACAGTCTGCAGTCTTTCTTCTTAAAGTTGGTCCTACTGCCATTGAAATTTTCATGATATTTCATACCTCATGACTCACCAGAATAAACCCTATTTCATTTATTTTAAACTTCAGATCATTTAATTGGCACTTCTAATGATTTGATTCACAGGTATTGGAAGAAATTTCATGTTACCCTGAAAATAGTGATGCAAAAGAACTTAAACGTATTTTAACACAACCTCATTTCATGGTAAGCAAATGTTTCAAAGGTACTTCTTAATGTTTCTCATTATGACAGGTGGAGCAGAGAAAGGATCTGTGTATTGCAAGGGCCTATGGAGAAGGGAGGAAAACAATACATTGCAGTGTATTCTGTGCATTAAAAATATACCTGTGCAATCAGGTCTCCCACAAGGACTTCCAGGGGTAGTTCATTTTCCCATCCCCCACCATTTCCTTTTTCCCTTCCCTGGAAGATCATGATAGCTTGTTCCCTTTTTTCTGCTTCCTTCTCTCCTTCCCACCCACCAGCCGAACTACCTTTATCTGCTTCCGTGTCTTCAGTTTTCTCTCCTTCCCTAGCCTGGCAGCCGTACCTGGGAAAACTGTTGTCCAATTATACAGTGCCAGCAGTTAGGCCAGGTCCAGCTGCATGGTGGGGAACCCACAAGAAATTGCAGGGGGCACTTCATTTTCTCCTGTATCCCCTTCCCCACATTATATCATCTTTCCCTCCTTTGGCAGCCAACCATGCCCTTGTGTTTCCCTGCTTCCTTCTTTCCTTCCCACCGCCTAACCAACCTACCTCTTATCTATCCCCATCTTCAGCTATATTAATGTCATTTATGCCCCCTTTTTCCAGAATGGGGACCCAGAGCAGTTTACATCATTTTCCTCTTCTCCATTTTATCCTCACAAAAACTCTGTGAGTTATTAGACTGAGAATGTGTAACTCACCCAAGGTCACCCTGTGAGCATTTGTGACCGAGTGGTGATTTCAACCTGAGTCTCCCAGATCCTAGTCTGAAACTATAACCATTACACAACATTGGCTTTTGTGGGGTGGCTGCTGTTGAACAGTAGCAAGCAGCCAGGCCTGGTTGAGTCAGCATGTAATGTGGTAATAAGTTGCTCAGTGGTTGCTGGTGATCTTGCCCCTGATGAGTCCTCCTTCAAAGACCAGAACAGCCCTAGAAAGGGTGCTATTCATTCCCCCTCTCTTTTACTGACAACAACCAAGGCTTGAAGGCTGTTTGGTTTCCTAGCAACAGCCACTGGGGGCATTTGTTTCTGAAAATTACAGGTAATGTCTGCTAGTATTATTTGTGAGGATTTTTACCCCCTCCCCAATGTTTTTCTTCTAGCTTTCCGTTTTTTCTTGAAACCTGTGGCATTTTTTAGGTTTGTAAAAAGATCTGTCTAGAGTTTTTGTGATTCTAGTCTCTGATAAAAGGGTTGAATACTTTCCCTATGAAGAAAGGCTAAAGCACTTGGGGCTCTTTAGCTTGGAGAAACGACGGCTGAGGGGTGACATGATCGAGGTTTATAAGATTATGCATGGGATTTATTTATTTATTTATACTTTCAATTTCTATACCGCTCAATCCCAGAGGCTCTGAGTGGTTTACAAGCATATTACATTTCCTAACTAGGGCCACATACAGTGTGTGTGTGTGTGTGTGTGTGTGTGTGTGTATAGGGAGGTGTGGGCCCACAAGGCACTCTGCCAGAATAGATTTTCGGGTGAAGGTTCCTCTTCAGGTGAAGATGAGTCTCAGCTGGTGGACACACATCAACAATCTTATTCAAGGCAAGACGTTCTGGATCCCAGACAGGAAACAGATATTTACGGATGCCAGCTTGTCAGGGTGGAGAGCCACCCTACAGAATATGACTGCACAGGGAAAATGGTCACCAGAGGAACGCAAACTGCTGATCAATCTACTAGAACTACGAGCAGTCAGACTGGCACTTCTCATTCAGGGGAAACACATCCTCATCAGGACGGACAATATATCAGCAAAGGCGTACCTGAATAAACAGGGAGGGTCCAAATTGTTAGCTCTACACAGGGAAGCGGAGAAACTTCTGGAATGGGCAGAATCCAATTTATCCTCAATAAAGGCGGAACATGTAAAAGGGGAAGTCAACATCCAGGCGGACTTGTGGCAAGTGATGCACTCTATTTTTGGTGCTTGGGGGGGGGGCAACAGTGGGAGAGTTTCTAGTGTCCTGGCCCCACTGCTGGACCTCCTGATGACACCTGGTATTTTTGGCCACTGTGTGACAGAGTGTTGGACTGGATGGACCATTGGCCTGATCCAACATTGGCTTCTCTTATGTCCTTATGATTTAAGTATCCACAGATTTGGCCATGTTGAGAACTATATATATTGATACTGTCACTTACAGTAAAGCTGGCTCAACCACATTTTTGACGAAGGCAGACTTCCTGGGCACTACATATCCAGAAAAAAAAATGTCCAGGACGCATGACAAGATTGTCAGTTCTTCTACTGTCTAGGCTAGGGGTATCAAACATATGGCCCATGGGCCAGATCTTTCCCAAAAGCAACTGGCTCTATGCTGCTTCCTACTTCCTGTTCCTCCTTCCTGTTTCCAGCGTGGGATCTGGCTTTTGCCCTGTCTCTCCTATGTCCTGCTTCATAGAGGAGAGAAAGAAAGTCAAGCCTCCCTTCCTTCGATTGGCTGAGGCCTCTTCCCCCTCCTCCTCTGGGGATGGAGGGGGAGGGAAAAAGCCAGAGAGATAGTCCCGTAGCACCTTTAAGAAGACCAACAACATTTTATTCCAGAGAGTTCGGTTTCCTGATCAATATAAAGAAAAGCTCTCTAAAACCCACTCAACGACTGGAGCATCTAGGTGTGATCATAGACACCAGGTCCACAAAACTGCTTCTCACAAGCAACAAGGCAAAAAAGATCCGCTCACTGGCAATTCAAATCATCTCAGCGAGAATGTCCTCCATTTCCATTCTAACCAAATTGATGGGACTCATGGTGGCAACTTTCGACATACTTCATTCCAGACAGCTGCAGCTGTTCCTGAGACCTTTTCAAAAACACGTGACTCTTCGAATAGATTTTCGGGTGAAGGTTCCTCTTCAGGTGAAGATGAGTCTCAGCTGGTGGACACACATCAACAATCTTATTCAAGGCAAGACGTTCTGGATCCCAGACAGGAAACAGATATTTACGGATGCCAGCTTGTCAGGGTGGAGAGCCACCCTACAGAATATGACTGCACAGGGAAAATGGTCACCAGAGGAACGCAAACTGCTGATCAATCTACTAGAACTACGAGCAGTCAGACTGGCACTTCTCATTCAGGGGAAACACATCCTCATCAGGACGGACAATATATCAGCAAAGGCGTACCTGAATAAACAGGGAGGGTCCAAATTGTTAGCTCTACACAGGGAAGCGGAGAAACTTCTGGAATGGGCAGAATCCAATTTATCCTCAATAAAGGCGGAACATGTAAAAGGGGAAGTCAACATCCAGGCGGACTGGCTGAGTCGCCAATCTCTACAGGAGAGTGAATGGTCCCTGAATCAGAAGATTTTTCAGTTCATAACAGAGACATTGGGAACTCCAATGGTGGACCTCTTTGCGTCACCAACCAGTGCGCAACTAGCGAGATTCTTTACTCGGTACTATCATTCTTGGGTGGAGAGCATAGATTATCTCTATTATCTGTACTATTGTGCCATATTTGGCGAGCAGAAAGAGAGAGTATAAACCTTCCTTCTTCTATCATTTCCTGCTCCACGTGTCTGTGATGGGTTTTTTCTTTATATTTGTTAGCAAGTTATTAGAAATTATTATGTTACTGTTAGAGAATGTTAGTTATTAATACACTGCTTCGGGAGCACCAGAACTGAGCCTAGGGTGACACCCACCACAGGAAACAGGAAGTTTGAAATTAATCCTGCCTCCCTGAGTGATGGATGGGAATCACCCACAAGATGTCCTCCAAGCCTCAGAGGAGAAGGACCCTTCACGGTGAGTATCCAATGGTCGATCTCGACATCTTCAGTTGACAAGCAAATTTTGCAAAGGGTTCTTTGAGAATGCAGGACCCACAGCAAAACAACGAAGTACAATCTTACAGGAAGGTTTTACTTTTATTGAAAAGCCATAGATGCAGTAAAACGAACACTGTTAGGAATGGTGGACTACCTATGCGCATAATAGGATATAGGGCATTCGTATTGCCCCCCCCCCCCCAGCAATATCCAATTAGGTGGATTCCCTCGCGCGGGGGATGGCAAAAGCCTCTAATGGAAGGGAA